AAAAGTCATGACGTGCAAGCGGGTGATGTCAAGCTGGGAAGGTGAACATCGCGGTTCATCATTCCTCATGTCAACGTGTCCACGTGGGTGTGGCTCAAAATTGAACAGGAGGGGTTACGCAGGTTTTGGTCCATGTTTCCACTTACCAGGGTTCCGCTTTACCGGTTTTTTGAGCCACAGCCACGTGCCAAAGTCGGCGCAAGCCACAAAGGCAACGAAGTGAAGGGCCATGTGACCTGCAAGGTTGAGATGCGCGCGTGTTGACTTGTTGGGCGCTGTCGCTTTTGGACTTCGAACCAGTTCGGGGGTTTGTGTAAGTGAAAAAACTTGCGGCTGAGACCTGCCCAAATCAATTCGCGAATGATGAATTTGCAGGATTATTTGAATACGACCTGGGCCGCTGCATCAGTTGAGGTGCAGGGCAAACGAGGGGTCCTGGAAGAGACATTTTTGGCATGGGGTCAAGTAAACCAACCACCAACAGCAAAACTTGCACCCCTCTTTGGGGCATTAGAAACAGTTTGCACAGGAGATTGTAGAATACACATCGAAAGGCCCAAAGAAATGTGCTAGTGGCTTTAGGTAGCAAACATATGTTTTGCTTTGTCGCAGGCTATGCTCTTGCCATGGCTGGGTCTTCATTGGATTCATTGGCCAGATGGAGGCTTGGCAGATTGGGCCACTCAGACCGATGCTCCAGGACAGCGGCCCCATGACCCCCGCCCAGAAGTGCAAGATGCCTCCGCCACATATATTCCAGGACGGGCGGCGGCTTTAGGCCAATGAAGACATGGGTTCCAGACTGGGCCAGGCTCAGTGATATGAAAGGAAGAAGATGCAAGTTTACACCTTCCAAGCTTGCTGGTTTTGCACTCGCACAAAACGAGCCAGCGGTGTGACTGGGTCAGGTGGAGCGCAGGTGGCATATCGGAAATGAAGTGGTTGCCCTTCGCCGCTTGAAGCTCTCACAGGATCCAAGGATGGGTGGCATTTCGAATGCGACCACAAATGGTAATAGCCAAGGCACTTGTTGCGAAGTTGGAAGACTTAGAATGCTTCAAGGTGGGCCAAATCCGCGGGTAGCTGCATATATCCCATATTCGTATTAGTTGGTTTGCCGGAACAAGGCGTGAGTCAGCAATCGTATACGGTGGGCGTGTGCCAGTTGCTCATTGATATGAAAGCTACCGCTTAGCCGAATGCCATTTCGAGATTGACGTTGGCACCGGACATGTCATATCAACCGGCCCGGAGTTGCCAGGACTTGCCACTGAAAGCTCCGCCAGTGCTGTCGCAGGCATGTTGGGCGTCAAGTACAGCCCGAGGTTCCAAACGGAGGTGGACAAAACGGACACAGAGGGCCCCTCTTTGCTGGGTTGGCTTGCCTCCCTGATGGCTGACAGGCTACGGTTTGGTACGGGCGCATTCCTCAAAGGATTTAAAGCTTAGCGCTCCTTGCCGTGATCCAAGATCGATGGTACATTTGTGTGTGTGTGTTTGCGGTTCAGCTGTTTACGAAGAAGCTAGGGTACAAAATATACATGCTGAGGGGTCTAGCCTGGAGGCTTGTTGAACAAAGAAAGCCGTTGTAAACATTGAGCATCGTGCAAAATGCAAGCCGAAAAATACTATGGGTGAACACGCCAATATCTCTGGCAGAAGGGGACAATTGAGATGGCGAAACCATCCTGCACCCCAGGGTTTGCCGTTGTCGACGCTCTGGTGACGCCAAGCGCTCCAAACATGGGTCCTTTCGGATGATGTGTCGGCAGGCTGCCGGCCCTCCGCATGTGAACTCTAGGGGCCAAGTCTGCAGGTCCTTGGGGCGAAACAGTGGAATGCTCCCATGTTCGGACATGGCTTTCATGGACGGGCTTCAGGGCCGTTTTCCATTGCTGGTGGTTTTCAAGCACATGCAACTCACTCCTTCAACCCTAGCTGGTTCTTTCAAAGCCGCCGCTGTTCTGCTCTTCGGGGGATAAGCATAAAATCTGCGGACTACCAGCCATATCCCACATCCCACATGCAGGCAATGGGAAGCCTGGGCCCACAGAAAGCAACGCCTCAGGACAGCGTTTGAGTGCTCGCTTCAGTGAAGGTCCCCGGTCGCCAGCCCTCAGACTGGGCCCACACCTTCCGTGCCCTCTAATGACCGGCGCTTTAAGGTAGGGAGGCACTTAACGAGGATCCATGGATGGGGTTCAGTTTTGTCGGCCTTTGTTTCATTTACAAACCATGCCGTTGCACTGCAGCCAGTAAAGCTTATTGCAGTAGTTCGGCAAGTCTGGTCGAAACTCCTTTCTCTTTGGGATTTGTACTTTAGCATATTCTCTCCAAGGGCTGGGGAGGGGACAAACAGGGAACCTGTGTCCAGAAGTTTGGCACACACACACACAGTACAATGCACAAGCGACATACCCCGCATAACTCACATATCGCCATACAACCCGACATAGCCCACGTACTTCCATGCAACCCACAACATCCACATAGCCCACACAACCCACATACCCCCAACAGAACTTCAACCCATGCCCTAGATACCTCAGGAGCCTTCGAACATCCTGCCGTGCAAGGCACCGCCCTCCGTCATCTTCAAGGACAGAGTTGCTACGATCGGGAATTCACCGGGGGTGTTGTCGGCTTTCTTGCTTATTTGGCTAGGTCAGGGGTGGTGTGCCATTTGCCCTGAAGAAGGAAAAGGGGGTTAAGCCCAGAAAACCACAATTCCCAACGCCAACCGGGAGTCACCTGCTGTGGGGATTGAATCCAAGCCCTCAAATCAAGCACTAGGGGTGGTTCAGTTTGGGGTCAGAACCTGAGTTGGATAGGCCCATCAATTCACGAATGCGAATTCACGTGTGTTTCGCATTGCCAGATTAGAAAATCCGCATTGCATGTGAAGAAAGTGTGAGAATCTGATGTTGGCCCCTTGTTGCAATATTTGGCGTGCCACCCGGGATGTAGATGACCTCATCGTTTGTTCAGCAGCTTCACAAAAAAGCAAAGCTTTGCCAGGGAGCCGCTGCGACGGCGCCACACAAGGCGCCACCGATGCCGCAGAAGGCGCCACCGCTGGCGCAGGACCCCGCACTGAGGTTGACACGAGCGGTAGATTCTTACAAAGGATTGGTGAACACTTCGGGACCCCCATTTAGATCGAGAAGTGTAACGTCATGTGGGAAGGGTGAACGGCCCCGGCATGATGGGAAGATTTCAGTGCATATCAGATGCGGAGTGTTGAGTTGTCGCCGGGGGTTGAGCTTTGTGGGCTGGTTTTTGCCGGTGTCAGCACCCGACCAGAGGGAAGTTCCCGGTGATCATGACGCGCATCGCCAGCATCACCAGCAACATCACCTGTCACATCATATACGCGAACTGTTCGCTAGCCAACCTGCGTGCCTCCCAATGACACAGTTGTTTGGAGCCCTTCTTGCGTGCCTGGCCTGCCGCAAGCAAGCCATCCATGCAACGAGAAGCCCATTGAACTACTTGCTGGCACACGCAGCATTGGGATCATGTATGCTGAAAACGCTCATATGTTGCACATACATTTCAAAAGGGCCTGCAGTCCGGGCGCAAAGCCCGCCTGTAGAAAGGTGACGACGATTCTTTGGCTCAGGAGATGCCGGTGAAAGCGCCGCCTGTCCTGGTGAAAGCGCCGCCTGTCCTTCAGGACTGCCCTGCACAGATGTAGCAGAAATCTGGCCCCTTTGAGAGTACTTGCAAGTTGAGATTTTGAGGGTCTGAAACACATTTCTAACACCACTTCGAGGTCATTTTGAGGATACCGGTACCCGTTTTGAGGATTGACCGGGAAGTGGCCAGGCCATGTTTTGGGGAGCCCCACCTTTTTCAAATGACTTGGCGTAGCAAACCAAGCAAAAGCTTAGCTGGCCAGCTGCAGATGTGTTATGCCGCTTTGTTGATGCGGTTTATGCAGCTTGTAGCAAGACGATTCAACGAAAGATGGATTCCGATCCGGACTGTTGAGCTAAAGTCTTTTACTTTGGGCGACCGGGGTTGATCAATCAACGTCAAACGGACCCGCCACCCCGGTCACAAGCCTAGTAGAGCCATTTGGACGTGTGATGAAGGCATTTGCCCAGTTTTTGTTGGCATGCTCGTCAGCTTGGGTCGCCTTGCATACTCCAGCCACGGACCATGGGAGAGAAACATCAAGCTGCATTGCACGTACAGATGGACCAGGGACACATGGATAGGAAGGAGTGTGATTGTATGTGTTGTAAGGGGGCAGATGGCTGGCGGTTGTTCTCAAGGGTGATTTCGCTTTTTGGTGGCTTAGGACTGTAACAGCCTAGCTGTATATTGGAGACTCGCCATTGGATTGGGCGGGCGGCCCATGTCAGTACTCGCAGGAAGCGCGGCCAAAAGATTCTTACAAAGGATTGGTGAAAACTTCGGGAGTTTGGGCAGCCCCCATTTAGATCGAGAAGTGTAACGTCATGTGGGAAGGGTGAACGGCCCCGGCATGATGGGAAGATTTCAGCAGATATCAGATGCGGAGTGTTGAGTTGTTGCAGGGGGTTGAGACCAGAGGGAAGTTCCCGGTGATCATGACGCGCATCGCCAGCATCACCAGCAACATCACCTGTCACATCACCAGCATGGCTTCTGAGTCCGTGTGGTTATGACGCGAATATACGCGAATTGTTTGCTTGCCAATCTGCGTGCCTCCCAATGACACAGTTGTTGGAGCCCTTCTTGCGTGCCTGGCCTGCCGCAAGCAAGCCATCCATGCAACGAGAAGCCCACTGAACTACTTGCTGCACACGCAGCATTGAGATCATGTATGCTGAAAACGCTCATATGTTGCACATACATTTGAAAAGGGCCTGCAGTCCGGGCGCAAAGCCCGCCTGTAGAAAGGTGACGACGATTCTTTGGCCCAGGAGATGCCGGTAAAAGCGCCGCCTGTCCTGGTGAAAGCGCCGCCTGTCCTTCAGGACTGCCCTGCACAGATGTAGCAGAAATCTGGGCCCCTTGAGAGTACTTGCAAGTTGAGATTTTGAGGGTCTGAAACACATTTCTAACACCACTTCGAGGTCATTTTGAGGATACCGGTACCCGTTTTGAGGATTGACCGGGAAGTGGCCAGGCCATGTTTTGGGGAGCCCCACCTTTTTCAAATGACTTGGCGTAGCAAACCAAGCAAAAGCTTAGCTGGCCAGCTGCAGATGTGTTATGCCGCGGCTGCAGGGTTGATGCGGTTTATGCAGCTTGTAGCAAGACGATTAACGAAAGATGGATTCCGATCCGGACTGTTGAGCTAAAGTCTTTACTTTGGGCGACCGCGGTTGATCAATCAACGTCAAACGGACCCGCCACCCCGGTCACAAGCCTAGTAGAGCCATTTGGACGTGTGATGAAGGCATTTGCCCAGTTTTTGTTGGCATGCTCGTCAGCTTGGGTCGCCTTGCATACTCCAGCCACGGACCATGGGAGAGAAACATCAAGCTGCATTGCACGTACAGATGGACCAGGGACACATGGATAGGAAGGAGTGTGATTGTATGTGTTGTAAGGGGGCAGATGGCTGGCGGTTGTCTCAAGGGTGATTTCGCTTTTTGGTGGCTTAGGACTGTAACAGCCTAGCTGTATATTGGAGACTCGCCATTGGATTGGGCGAGCGGCCCATGTCAGTACTCGCAGGAAGCGCAGCCAAAACCAAAGCAGGCGGGCAAAAATATTGTACAGAAGAGAAAGGAACCAGAGAGTAAGGTGAGAAGCATGAAGAGAGTGAAGCTGAACGAGCTGCCTACAGCAGACAACATGTGAGCTGCTTAGCAACCACATATATATATATATATATGTATATACATATATATGTATACGAATATGTGTATACATATATATAGTAAGTTGATCAACAAATTGGTGTCAATGCTTCAGGCAGCTGCAGCCAACATGGCAATTGGCTCATTTTTTCAGTTGGGGGCATTGTGGTAGTTGGCTGTTGAGGGTTTTAGTTGGGTCCGGTATAGCCCGGCCTTTGCCCGGGCATAGAAAGCCCTTTGGCCAGGCTCCCCCACAGCCTCCTCTCGCGAAGTATGCATCTTGGCAACGACTGGGAGTGGGTGCATGAGGTTCTGTTGCGAATCGCTGAGGGATTTGCCAGCAGCCCTGTCGGCCAGCAAAGCATGGAAACATGAGCTTGACTCTTTTGTTTTTGTGAGTCCTTTGGAAGACACTGTCCAAGCAACGCATTGGCACAATCTTGGCTTCCAACGCCCAGGACGTGGTCTTCTACAAGGACCAAAGGTGCCTCTAGAGCTTTTGACTCGTTTTTTCTTTCCTATCCGAGCATTGCACCCAGCTTCAACTGGCCTATGACACACTTCAGCCAAGGGCGAATTTGGGCCCTGACAGGTGCATGATCCTAGGCCTTGAGGATGACGGCATCGTCGTGCTTTGCAACTGCGAGGATAGCAGTGAGCTGAGGCGCGGGTCGTTTTGGGTCAAGGTTTGACGGAACTGAGTGGATGCAAGTGGCAGAGGGGCCGCTTCGCAGATTGAATCTGAAAAGGGTCTCGACAAAGAGCCTGTTCCCATTGTCAGACCATCACCGTTTGCATGAAAAACAAAAGTTGGGAATGGAGACTTGTGGTGGGCATCTCCAGAGGGTCGCTTGGGATCACGCTTGCTTCATGTGGATGAACCCTGCATGACCGAAGGGTGCTTTGCGTCGGGAAGCTTGGGGCAAGGAAGCCTTCAAACAAAATGTGACTTCCTCATGTCGACAAAGCTAGCCTTTGCGGTGATGTGATGGCACCCTTGGTCGGTTGGCCATGTGTTTGGTGCACGTTCCGCTGCCAGCCGAAACACACGTCTGAACGTTTTGTCTTTAAACACACGCATAGTAAATCTGTATATTTGCTTGACGCGGGCTCCTTTTTCTTGGCATAATTATTCAGCAGGATAACCATTAGTTTAAGGGGACTTATTGCAGAGTTGTCCCATTCATTCCGTAAAGAAGACCTGGGACGTGTGCGGCGCCTAAAGTAGTGCTACAGCAGCACTGAACCAATCTAAGCACTACCAGCCCATTCTAGACCAATGCTAAATGGCGCAGCAGCTTGCAAGCCACTTGGGCTTGTCTGATTCTGACCCCCCCCCACTTTGTTTTCAGTTGCTCTTGCTGCTAGATCGTGTTCCCAGTTTCTTTTGTCTTGCCTCCTTTGCTATCACTGCCTCCGCAATGGTTACCTCTTATCAACTCAGCCCATCGAGTTTTTTCAAGTGCATCCAACGGGCATTGGCACCTTTTGCGCAAAGAGACCCGAGAATTCCCGCCTCAAGCCGCGCAGGAGCACACGCGAGCACCTCTCTCTGACTGCTCCGGCTGTGCCAAGCCCAGCCTGCGCGCCGCCGAGCTCTCCAGCAAAGACTGAGAAGGCACCCCGATGGGCCCGGAGCCGCGCAGCTGACGCATGATGGACTTTGCGATGTGTGTGTGTGTGTGTGTGTCCAAGGTTTTTCCTTTGCTAGTTGGCAGTTTTTTGTTGTGTGCTCCTTTTGTATTTTGAGTTTGTTGGCCCATGGCAGTTAGCTCGTCCACTGCGCGCTGGCCCGCCAAACCGGAGAAATGTACTGCGTGGGCCTGGCCCCGCGCAGTTTCTGGATTCTGGGCCAAAGCCTGGATCCGCAGATCAGATTGCAGGATGACTTTAAAGGCAGGCCATATAGTGGATGCACACATCTGAACACCTTGCAACTGCTGCTTGTTTTTTTCCTGAGCCCTGCCAGATGTAGCCTGCACAGACCGCAGGGCATTTTTTTGGTGCAATGTTTTCATAATTTGTGCATTGCCATCCACATGGCCCTTGCCATTAGCCTGCTTTTAGCAAAGCTCATTTCGGCAACCCAGTGCCGGAGCCTGAGAACTGCTTGACGGGAGCTCCGGTTGAACTTTGCAACGGTCAATTTCTACAGTTGCCGTCCATTCGGCATGGCACAACGTCGGAATAAACCTTGAAACGGCCTCGACCTCTTGGTGGGCATTCAGGGGTTCGAAGTGAATTCGTGGAAGGGTATGACGCGACCTTCTGCCCCGAGGTTCCCAGCCGAACTTGCAGAAGCCGTGCTAAGGCGCTGGATCTTCAAGGCGCATTCAGTGTGAGGTGGCCAGGTCCAAGGTCCAGGTGGTGTGCTTGTGGCTTAGCTCCCCTTCCGAATGTGTTCATTTGCCACGCCAGGAGGGGCGGTCAATGCAAGCAGTGCATTGCCGAAAGCAGCTTGCCCGGAACCAGTTTTTTTTTTACGTGCGCACCGCACGTCAGCATGCGGCACACACCCCAAACCTTTTCAGATGCATGCCAGCCGTTGTCAGAAGGGGCTCAGACCTTGCCTGCAGGGTGGGAGCTGGAAGACGTGCTGAAGTGAGCTTTCAGCAATTTAAAGATAGTCCAGATGCGACCGAAATTGATGGTGGCGCTGGTGCCATTTTCGAGCAGTTGAATTATGCAGTGCACTCAATGCTTACCCTTGCTCCTTCTTTGGTCTTCTCAGGTTTGGATTAAGAGCGGGCGCCTCTGGGCACGATTTTGTCCCTTGCCATGGGCATGTGGCCCTCGAATCGCTGCGCGCGAAATCGAGGGCACATGCCCTGGGCAGTTAAGAGCCGAAGCTCACAGAAGGCACGGCCAAGCGTCGCCCGTTATGAACACCTCTTTGGACAAGCTTTCCATCCGAGCGAGAAACCCTTGAAACTCAAGACTTGCATTTCTTTGCCTTCAGGGCGGAATAGCTCGACGAGCCTCGGTTAAGCGCATTGAGCAAAAAGATGGAGTTGCTCGTCGACCATGCTAAGTGCCCTGCGAACCTTGCACTGTCGATATTACGCCGTTTTTTGGGGCAGAGGCCTCTGAAAGAGAATGTGGAGGGCCCAGCAAACAACCCTTCAGTTGCTCGAAGTTGCTTCCTCTTGCCCATGTTTGAACTGTGCTTCAAGCAAACAGGAGGTCGGGGTCTTGCTTCGGATTTGGTGGCCGTGATGTCAGCTGCGGGTGTAGTAGTGTGTCACGAGCATGTTTTTTCCAGGCGCTTCTCCACTTCTCATAGTCAGGCCTGGAAAAGCTGATATAACATTCCACACTACCTGAGAATTGGTCTGATGCAGATGGTTAAGATGGTGGCAGCCACTGCTTGCTCATGCGTTTAAAGATTAGCAAAACCAAAAATTAGAAATGAATGAATTAAACAGAGAGGAGAGAAAAAGAACACATCGCAAGAAAAATGCTAGCCAGGTACTTCAGCCAATCCTGATCTGCAACATGAAGAAATTGAATGTGTATTTAAAGAATTAAAAATAATTAAAAGATACAAATTAATATACAAATAGATATATAAAATTGATTTGAATAACATATTCGAAAATAATCCAAATATTTGATTGATTTAAATAAACATATTATATATATATATTGTGTTTAAATATTTTTGGAAAACAAATATAAAAATTAAATAATAAATAACATAATAATTATATATTTTAATTGATTATTATTAATTAAAAACCATATTTTATTTGTATATTTATTTTTTTGAAATGAATTATTAATTATTATGTTTATGTAAAATATAAAAATATTGAATAAAGAATAATTGAATAATTAATATTTTAGAAAAAAATAATTTGGAATTGGGAATTTATTATATATTATAAAATATATTTTATATTGTAATTTAGAATGTGTAGAAAAAATGATTAAGATTTTGAATGGTTTTTGTTTTGTTGTAATAAATTAATTCTTTGGATATTTATATGGTTATGGTATTTTTTTTCTGCAGAGAATTAATTAATTGTAATTTCGAATTATTAATTCTTCGAACATTATGGGGTGGGATTGTACCCTTAGTTGAATTGTCAATTCTTCAACTATTATGAGGGGGGGTCGGCAGCCTAACCCCCCCCCCCCCGCTACTTTTTAGATTTTTTGCAGAAATTTAATTGTATTCTTATTCAAATTATCATTTCTGCAAGCAATTCGTGGGGAGGGGCTGCCGCCCCCCCCAAGCCCTCCCGCTATTTTTCCCCACCCGATAGGAAGGGGTTATTAGATTTTATGTTTGGAATCCGCATTTGCGATGCTTTTATATCACGCCCCCACCCAGTATCCCGTCAGAGCAGCTCATTGATGGATCCCGCCGAGTATCCCGCCGAGTATCCTAGCAGAGCTGTTCGCTAGTGGATCCCGCCCAGTATCCCGCCAGAGCTGCTCGCCAGTGGATCTCGCTAAGTATTCCGTTAGAGCGGTTCACCAGTGGATCCCGCCGAGTATCCCACTGAGTATCCCAGAGTAGTTCGTTAGTAGTCCGCCAGTGGATCCCGCTGAGTAGCTCGCCAATGGATCCCGCCGAGTATGCCAGTATTCGCTAGTGCATCCCGCCAATATCCCGCCAGAGCAGCTTGCCAGTCCGGTTTTGCTTAATGTTTCGCTCGGCGCACATTTGGGTGTATATTTCATCTGAGGCTCGGAAAGGGTGATGCTGTTGTATTGCTTTGGGTTGTGAATAAGCAACTTTGTTTAATCCCCTGTCGGGTTCTTTTTGGAAGGGGCTTGGCTTTTGTTAACGGAACCGATGTTTGAGTTCTCGAGATCGGCTCACAGACAAGTGGAAGTTGCCGATGGGAAAGGAAGGGGCCGATGGGAATTGGAGTCGAAGTCTCTAGATTTGTTGTAACGGTCGTAAGCTCGTGAGTGTGGAGGGTGGGGGTTGCTCGAAGCGAAGTAATTTATATTTTTTTTAATAGGGATTGATATGCCCTCCTACTTGAATCATCATTTCTTTGACCCCGTCACACGATTTGTGGGTGATGCTAGGGATATTGGTGGGATGCGGGGTATATTTCGCGAGAACATGCTGTAAAATACGATACTTTATTGGCCCGATAGAGATTGAATTGCACCCTTATTTGAATTATCACTTTTTCGCGCGTCCAATTTCGCGAGAAAATGCTGCAAAATACGACATTTTAGGTAATCTGTGTAGTCCGTATATATGCATTTCTTCGAACATCATAGGGGAAGCTACCCCCGCTAACCCTCCCGCTGCCTTGTAAATTCTATCACACCCTTTCTTGAATCATTGCACCCCTACTTGAATCACCACTTCTTCCGACATTATGGGGGGGGCTGCCGCCCCCCCCAAACCCCCCGCTACGTTTAGATTTTCTACAGAGATTTAATTAATTACACCCCTAGTTGAATCATCAATTCTTCGAACATCATGGGGGGGGTGGCTGCCGCCCCCCCTAACCCCCCCGCTACTTTTTAAACTTTTTGCAGAGATTTAATTGCACCCCTATTCAAATCTTCACTTCTGCAAACAACATCGTGGGGGGGGCTGCCGCCCCCCCCCCCAACCCCCCCGCTACTTTTTATATATATTTTTACAGCGATTGACATGCCCTCCTACTTGAAGCATCATTTCTTTGACCCCGTCACACGATTTGTGGGTGATGCTAGGGATGTTGGTGGGACATACGAGGTATATTTCGCGAGAACATGCTGTAAAATACGACACTTTACTGGCCCGGCAGAGATTGAATTGCACCCCTGTTTGAATCATCACTTTTTTGAGAATCCAATTTCGCGAGAAAATGCTGCAAAATACGACATTTTAGGTAATTTGTGTATGTCTGTATGTATGCATTTCTTCGAACATTATAGGGGAAGCCACCCCCGCTAACCCTCCCGCTGCCTTTTAAATTCTATCACACCCTTTCTTGAATCATTGCACCCCTACTTGAATCACCACTTCTTCCGACATCATGGGGGGGCTGCCGCCCCCCCCCAACCCCCCCGCTACGTTTTAGATTTGCTATAGAGATTTAATTAATTGCACCCCTAGTTGAATCATCAATTCTTCGAACATCATGGGGCCGCCCCCCCCAACCCCCCCCTACTTTTTAGACTTTTTGCAGAGATGTAATTGCACCCCTGTTCGAATCATCACCTGTTTGAAGCATTATTGTTTTGACCTCGTCAACCCGCCAGCTACATTTTTGGATTTTGTTACCCACGATTTGTTGGTGATGCTAGGGATGTTGGTCGGACATGCGGGGGATGTTGAAAACGATGTTGTGGATGTTGACGAGCTAGTGTAAAATGCGTTAATTTCGCGAGAAAATGCTGTAAAATACGACATTTTGCTGGCCCGGACGAAAAAGGAAAAAAAAAAAACAAAAAACATCCCAAAATACATCCGCACCCATATAGATTACACATTTATTCTATAGATATATATTAGAATTAAAATGTAATATATACCTATGTTTATAAAATTATTATATTATAATTAATTTTGCAAAAATATATATATATATATATATATAATTCCAATTTAAAAATGAATTGTTATAATAATATTATATATATATATTATATATTAATATTAAAATACATATTTAATAATGTTAATATAAATTAATTGATTATTGAATTACCTTAATTTATATTAATTATTTGGACATTTAATTTATTATATATTCTTATAATATAGATAATTATATATATATATTATAATTAAGAATTAATTCAATATTTATAATTTAAGGATATATATATATATATTATTAATTATATATTGTCCTTCTACAATATTGATTTATATTATTACCTCTTTAATCCTCGATTAGGGAGAGGTTAAGGATGAAAATTATATTTTTGGGAGCCAATTTCTTTTTCGGGCCCGGGAAGGGGGGTTTAAAAAATGTATTTTATATTTGCCTAGTTTTCGAACCCAAGAACGGAGGGGGTCAAATATACGTCTTTTTCATCGCGAATGTTTTTTCGTGTGTGATGCTTTATAATAGGCACGTTTCTTATTAAAGAGTTGTGTAACAAACATATTTAGTGGGCGTGCTAGGCACCAAGGCATGTAGATGCACAAAGGGCACGTGGGTGCCAAGGGCGCAAAATGCGTGTGTGTCTAGGTCCGGGCGCGTGCAGAGTGCGTCCAAGGTGTATCCAGAGCATACGGGAGTGTGGAGGGCGTACGGACGCACCTAGGGAACTCGTTGGCGGAAGCGAGTCAAGCTTCAAGTATAGATAACCTAGAAAATTCCCAAATATATAAAATTAAATTGAGAAAAAATCTATGGAAACATATTATGCTCGAAATATATAGTTATTTTATCACCATTGGCCTTAGTAAGAAAACCGATGAGTAATCCATCGATCCCCTACTCAAAACACAGCTTCTCATTTACTATGCATTGAGGGTAGATATAGACTAACGAGCTGTTTCGGAAATTTCCCAAACCTAGCCCCAACGTTATTATTGCCACTGTTATCTTTCCCAAATCTAATTCTTATAGCATAAGAAAAATAAGATATAAATATGTTTCCTAATTTTCAAAAAAACAAAAAATATTCAGACAAAATCTATAATTTTTACCCAATAAAACCTCCTTATTAGATTATTTAAAAACTAAAAATACAAATTTTAAAAATTAATCCGCCGATGCTAATCGAGCATGTATATAGCAGTCCACAACTTGGTCTTCCTTCGAGGCTTTTGGAATTGTTATTTTTTGGGTATGCTACATTCGGTATCCAAAACCTATATGTTTCTAGTATTTTTGGTCTTTCGTGCTAAAAATATGTATTTCGTCTAGGTCTCTAGGGGGGGGGGATCCCCCGAACATGCAGGATTTGTATCCCCAACATCATTAGCATTGCCTTGTTGCCATGAATTTGTCTCTCGTTTTTGCAGATACTAATGGTCTTTTGCTGTTTCGCACGATATTAAATTGGCCTAGGTTTGGATAAGGTCAAGAGCACTAATATTTTGAGGAATTGTTAAATTTTGCAGAAATAATTGATTTTTGCAAGTTCCTTCTTATATAGAGTAATTACTACGGAATATGTCCTGTATTATTGTGATTTTGGAAATCTATTATTTAGGTATTTGAGGGGGATTATTAATATCGAATTAGAATAATTATTTTTTAAAAATATTCTAGTCGGCTATATTCCCAATATTCTGTGTTTGATGAATATTATATATCTAAAAATCTTAATTGTGTAATCATAAAAATTAGGTTTGTTCCTATAAATTGTATAATTATATCAAATTTATGTTTAGCATTCTTAATACTAGGACATAAAAGAAATAAAACAATGTTCAGAAAACGGAGGCGTATAAGAAGGGTCTGTGCTCGTCCTTGTCTTTGGAATAATAAATATTATTATTATTAATATTGGATAATATTCGTAGTATCCGCATCATCATCGTTCTTCTGTTTTATATGCATTTCAAATATGTCGTTAGCGCCGATTTGGAATATAGATGATGTATAATTATGATTGTTATAATATTGTTGCTCATGCTGGGAATATATAATGATGATTATCATTAGGATATCGTTACGGTAATTGTTGGGACATTGGGATGCATAATAATAATGATTAGGATCGTCATTATCATTATTATACCTCAATTTGATATGCAAAACAGGATTTCATAATTATTAACGATGCTATGGATATATAATATAATAATTAGCATCATTAATGTTAAGTGATAATTTCTATTATTAGGATTATTATTCTTATCGTGATGTTTTTCTTGTTTATATATGTTTTAAATATCTCGTTAGACCCGACTATAAATACAAAAGATATATAATGATGATTATTATGAACATTGAAGATTATTATTATTATTATTACCCGTTTTAACAGGTAGGGGATGTAAAATGACGAATATTATAAGGCTGCTGGCGATGCTATGGATATATAGTGATGATTATCAATATTATCGTAACGTTGTTTTTGTTAATATATGTTTTAAATATCCCATTAAATCCGACTGGAAATATAGGGGATATATAAGTATGCCGGGTGAGTAACGAAATCTTACGAATAAAACAAAGGGTGCCCCAACATAATGTTCCTACCCACATTTCCATATATTAATCTTATTTCTTATAAATCCAATAACATATTCATTATTATACGAATTAATCCTGCAATAGCTTATTTAAGATGCAATACATAGATCATCATAATTCTCATAATAATTGCTAACGATGCAAGAAATACAAAATAAGAAATATCTTCATAATTAATAATAATAATATAAATATATAATAATAAATAATATTATGCCTAATATTAAATAATAATATATAATTATTCCAAATTCAAAGCCCCTCAAATAAAGAAATTAATTATTCTCCTTCCATAAAAATGTAATTTATTATAAACATATAATTTATTCTTCCTATAAATATTAAAATAAACATATATATAATATATATTAATGTATCAAATATCAATTATTTTTTTTTTAAAATTTATTTAAACTCCAATATAATATATAAAATCAAAAAATATTCTTATTCCCAAATTCCAAATATCCTTTCCTTTCATATATTGCATGCCCCATATAACCTAACTAAAAAACACATATTTTTGTATTCCCTATATTCAAAAAATCTCAAAAATTATATATATTATTCTCCAAATACCTGTATATCCTAGCAAAACATTTTTTTTTATTTTTTTTTTCCCTTTCTCCAAATCTAAATACCCTATAACCAACCTAAAATACACCTCATTTAATTTCTTTTCAATTATTAAAATCCTCTTCCCAACCCCAAATTAATATCATATATATTTAATATTCGTACCATTCAAAATTTTATAATATAAAATTCTAATAAAACCCTAAAAAACCACAAACCCCCCCCTCTAAAACCTTACCCCAAAACCAACCGAAACCTACCTAAATTACGACCCCAAAATATTCAATTATTAAAAACAAAAATTCCTATAACCAATCTCAAAAATCCCCATATACCTTAGCAAAAAGAAAACATGGTTCCTTATCCTAAATTCAAAACACATCATATATGTTTTATTCAATTTCCTACCATAGTTTTTTTAATTATCTTTTTTTTTTTTTTTTTCAAACATCAAAACATTCAAAAACCCATATAACCTTAGCCCAAAATATGTATTTTTCCTATCCCAAGTTTAAAATTCTTATAATCAATATCAACAAATCTTATTTATATTCTCCTCTCATATGTTACCAATCCCATTTAATTTATATCAATTTTATTTATTCATTATCCCTCAACAAATTAATAACCCAATAAAACCTCAACAAAAAACATATAATTACCAAACATTATTATGGTTAATTTATCTTCCATATATTAAACATCCCATATAATATCAACCTCATTTTATTAATAACAAATTATTCATTAATATCGAAACAATTTCAATATTACATTTTAAAATTCCCCCCCCCCCACCAATTTTATTATCTCAAATCCAAAAACACGAACCTCACAAATATAATATTGCATTTTCAAATCCCCCCCTTAAGGAAGTAGTAATTTAATTTATATTATTTTAATTTAAGAGTTTAATTTGCTTATTTAACATATATGTTCTAAAATTGTGTGTTTAAATCTTTTCTATGTTGTTCTATCCCAATACGAACCATTCTAAGCGAATTGATGTTATTTCAGCTGGAGTATGTTTCAAAGAAACTATTGACTGGAGAGCGGCATAGCCTGAGCTCACAAACTCTGATTCCAATCATCAAGCTATTACCAAAATACCATCATCATGGCCAAGAGAGTCTTTCCTCAGGGTCATGTCAAGCCCGCAACCTAAATCGTCTTGCAAATCGAACAATTCGACCAGATCGTCAGCCAAGGCACGGGCACAAGCCGTCAGTTTCAAACAGCTGAAGGGCGCAATGGCTGCAAAAAGCGTGGTGTCGACAAGGTTCCAGCACGCAGCCGACCTAGTCACCAGCAGTGGGCAAGAGCTGAGTCAGCTCAAAGAACACGTGCACACTCGTGACCCAACCCGTGTGAGTGCGTAACTTCATAAATGTCTGTCCCTCCTCTAAAGAGAAAGCTGTTGCAAGTGGCATGGCGCAGGTGTACCTGGAACTGCTCATTCAAGCAAACCAACCAAACACGGCATGCAAGCTATAATACACATGCAAGCAACACAGCCAAAGACAACAGGTTGCATTTTTCAGAAAAAGCCTCATTCCCCACTTGGTTGCTGATTTCTCACTGCTGTGATGGGCGTTTCCATGGATATCACTTGATTTTCTGAGAAAGATCGGATCTTATGCCCTTTTCCGAACATGCTGCTCTGTCCTTGCGTTGTAGCAGTCAGCCTTTTGCTTGCGGAAAGACATTGGCATCAGCAACGTGCGCCCCTTTTTGTTGGCCGCCTTGCTTGCGTGCACATCGAACCACTCTGAGCTTGCAGAGGGAAACCAAGCAGCAACAGCCTGTCTCACAGCGGGCTTCACGGCATGGCTGTACACGTCGAGAGCCTCATCGAATGAGCTCCACTGAGCACCTGGCAGGTGATGGGTGCAACTCCCTTGCAGAAAGTCTGTCAGCGTGCCCGTCCTCCAACCCACCACACCCTAAGTCGCCAACACCAGGCCACATCAATGCTCAACCTAGCAACGCAGAACTCAAGCCATGGCAGCATGAAGCATCTGTGGCTCCAGACATTTTGGCGATCCCTGTGCTGGGCCAAAAGGCAAGGCAGCTTTGAGCGCTCAACCGGTGACAAGCCCCATCAAATCCTTCGGAACACCGCTGGAGGCATGGGATGAGAATGAGCGGCACGGAATGGCGCGTGCCGCAAATTTTACAATTGAGTTGTGATCGTTGCAAGTTGTCGCCCTCTACAAGGCCGAAACGACTGCTGCTCGCACTTCAAAGGTGCTTGCAGGTAAACTGGCCGACTGGCACAGCTCATCAGCAAATTGGGGCTTCTGGCGCTTGTATGCCGAGACGTTTTAACAAATCTTGCCTTGTTCCTTTGAAAAGAAAGAAAGAAAGAAAGAAAGAAAGAAAGAAAGAAAGAAAGAAAGAAAGAAAGAACGAAAGAACGAAAGAAAGGGAAGAGCACAGCTTCAACGAAAATGAGAGGACTAGCGGCACGAAGCTTTGCAAGGCAAACCTGCTCCAGCTGACACGATGCGCCAATTTAGGCCGACTCAAACCCCCAAGCGCCCAAGCGGCAAAGCAAGCGCAACCCATCACAAGATCAAAGCAAGCACATCAGTCGCAACAAATTGCAATTTTGTTCCCTCCCACAACCCAAAGGCCTGGCCTCCCAGCAGATCTGTCGCCTTCTCCCCGAAAAGCCCCGTGGCGCTTTCCTTGAGTTGCTTGGCCCCGTGCAGCTCGCAGCTTGCAGCGCTGCTGCGCCTTAAAGCGCCCCAGGGAGGAAGGGGGTCCGAGGATTCTACGACAGGGAGCACCGAGGATCGCATATCTGGGTGGCAAAAAAGGAAGGGTGTAGACAAATGACAAATATCACATCCCCTTTTGGGTTACCTTTGGGTAATTAGCAATTGTGGCTATTAAACACCCGGTCAGCCGTCAAACATCTTCCGTGACTGCGAGAATCAGGCTTGCCTTTACGCACAACTTGCGCTGGCGTGCTGAGATGCGCGCACGCATTGCAAGGATTCTTGTTGCTTACGACAGCATTTCAAGGACATGTTCAGGGGCGCAAAGCACCTAGAACGTCGTAGGACATGCCACTGTGGGGTGTTTGCCACAATCTAGGATACATGCAGGCGCACTTGCAATTCAAAACTTCAAGCGACATCTGTATAAGTTGCATTTATCTCTCCCCCTGATGTTTGGGGGGCGGGATCTCCAATGTTCAATGAGTGCCAGGAACTTTTGGGGATCTTCTGCAGCCCTCCAGCCCTGTGTTGCAGTGCAAGTTGCAAACTTTACACTTCTTTCATCTATCTTGCAGGATCTATATATTAGAGAAAGTATCCTAGAACTTTATTTATTTCTTGTACTTTGTTCACCTCTCCTTTTTGCTAGTATCCTGACATTTCATTTCATCTGCGCTCCCTGGTCCCACTTATATACGTTGAAATGAGGGAGGGCGCCATGTCTGTCTCCATGTCTTTTTACAGCTCGGCTTGGAGAATGTAGGAAAGAGATAAAGTTGGGCAAAATGAGAGACGAAGGTGTACCAAAGGGACTGGAGAAGATCATCAAATAGATAGGCAAGAATAGCTCTACAGTGTATAACAATGGAGAATTCTAGGATGATGCAAGAGATAGATGACATGCAATGTAATGATCTCCACCTCCCTCCCTGCATTCATAGCAACATGGCGAAGAGAGGAATGGGAGATGAAGAAAAATGAAAACATTTGATGGTAGGCTTGGAACTGGAAAGGTGGGGGAAGAGATATAGACCCTTAACTGCCAGTCCCAACCATGCGTGAAAAATGAATTGGTTGGGGATAAAAGCATGTGCATGTAAGCACTGCAAGGCTTGGAGGATTCTTGAACGGCTTGCTCTTTTACCAATGTATTGCTTCTGTTATTCATATATCAATCTACTCTGTATCCTTTTCTCTCGTCTGTACTTTAAGGGTAACTTCTCCGGACAAAGAACCTGTTGATGGGATAGAATTCTGAGACAAATAACAGGTGAATAAAGAGACAGTAAAATGATACAGGATTGGTTACTTCTTTTTTCTTGGGCTTGTTTTGATGAATGTAGATAAATGTGCTTATCCGTTCATGTCTGTTTTGTCTTGGGCATCTCGCTCGCATCCATGTCTGGTCCTTATATCCGAGGAAGTGGTGATCATCGCTTTGCCTCTCCATCTCCCTTCAGTTTACACGCTAGGAAGGTGAAGGAAGGCAAAGGAATGGGTGGTTAGTTGAACGGGTGAGGCCTGGACCAGTGAGTTGGTTAGATAAAAGGAGCGACATGGCTCGCCTCACCCAACCTCACCCAATCCATGCCTTACCTTCGATCGCATCGCGTAGATAGAGACTACATATTATAGTGTGTGGAGCGAGCGGGCAGTAGAAAGGGTCTGATGTCCAAGGAATGGAGAGAATGGCACCTTCATGTCGGTTCATCCGTGCGCTAACATCTCTTCCTTTCTCCTTGTTAAATTCAAGATGCAGGAGTTGGGACAATGGACAGAACGGAGCGGCATAAATCTCAGCGTCTTATATCCCTTTGCATCTTCTCTGTTACCACGGCATAGCCGTTCCCCTCATCAATTTGTAGGTCTAGGAAAGAGGGAACGGATAAAGAGAAAGAGACGTGGTTCCAACTCCTCTCTCTGACCGCTCTCCGGTTTGGAGGAGTGGGGAATGGATAGGACAGCATGACAGCTTCTAAAACTTCATTCCCTTTCCACACGTAGTTACTGACCAGGATGGAGAGGATGGACACTTCTCATAAGAAATAATGACAACAACTACAATATATAGATCTTAAAGTGCTGTCGAGGCATGTTGCAACAATCTCACATGTTTCCAGGGCAGAATGATTGTTTTGGCAAAGTGCGAGATGGGACACGCAAGATGCATCTCCCCCAAACTAACCGGGGCGCCCTTTCAGAACATTGCATGCCATTGTGCCCAGAAAAGTACGCAATACCGAGCACTGCAAAATAGCCATTGACTTTTTGCAAGAGCTCCCCCCTCCCTCCATTCCATTCTGTCACACGTTGCAGTTCGAATCAGATTCTCTCTCTCTCTCTCTATCTCTCTCTGCCGTTGAGCCCTCATGATTTTGCAGCAATGGCGGCCAAGATGCACGAATCCATGGGGAGATTGCCGCACAATCTTGAAGCTCTGATATCCCAGAGCCAGCAAGCGCTGAAGAATAGTTTCATCCTCCATCCTTAGCTACATGCCTCAGGCCGGCCATGTGCAGTCATGCCAACAAAGGACCTATCCTGTGCTATGGGGTAAATGGGCACGCCATCCAAGCATAGAGTTGCTGTGCTACAAGTGGCGCTTTTGAGATAATTTTGTGAGTTGATTTCACCTTAACTCATCGTGATGCTAAACGCGCCCCAAAGCAACTATTATTCATAAAAACTTCTAGCGATGACAACCATCCTCATCATCTGATGACATCATCGAACCCAAGGATATTACCATGAATCAAGGCTCTCAGCGGAGATGATGTCTGGCCGCAATGATGGGGGCAAGCGCCCCAGTGAGTCTAGGCAAATCTTGGTGGCGTCCTGCCAATGACTCCACGTCTGCGATTTCGGCATCTTGCTTGCCCAACTTGAACGTTCCTGATGCTGGAACTTCAACTCAAACATTCTCGCTCCGTCGCTCCGCGGGATCCGAGTCTTTCCTCCCGTTTTGCCCTGCACTTGGACCAAGCTCTGCCAGCCGGGCTGCTCTATGTGGCCTCTGCTAAGTCACCTCTTTCTCCGATGTTTGTGAAGTAAAGTTGGTGTCCTCGTAATTGGCTACTCATATGCTCAATCACATCTTTTGAATCTGGGCTCCGAACGCATTCTTGCAAGCAAATGGGTGTGGGTTGCGCAGGGGTTGGTCTTTGTTTCCATTTACCTCCACTTACCACGGGGCCATTTTGGGTACATATTTTTGAGCCACAGCCAAATGCCATCGAGAATGCTTGGGCGCTGAATTGCTTTGGGGCTCTTGAGTGCTGATGCCTAAAGATTGGCAGCGGATAGGATTTGAGGCTTAGGCACTCAAAGGCTTGGAGCTTTTGCTGAAAGCCCCGCTCCCGACTTCGCTCGCCAGTTCAATGTCCAATTAGTTGAGTGAAGTGCAGGACCCTGGAGAATGCTCAACATAAGGAAAAGGGGGGGCGGACCTGGCTACCAAGGCATGCAGCACGCTTCAACGATGGGGATTCTAAGCGTAGGCGCAGCGTAGGCATGGCTAGAAAACACAATCCTTTGAATGGAGCACTTGACGAATAGCCAATTGCATCCCTGGGCTTGGAGATCTAACCAGCTTGCTTGCCATCCTCCACGTCGATTTTCATATACGCAGGAACCCCATTCTCTGCGATGAGATCTGCGCAGCTTGTGGTCTTGAGGTGCACGCGGCTATCATACCTCACGTCTCAATGGGAGCCCCCAAAGCCGGGAATGGGCTGGTCTCATATGTGGTGTTGGTGTTACATTGATATTCCCTTCAGCCTCCAAATGACCATTGGTAACTTTTTCCATTTAGCGGAAAATATCATCTTTTTGCGTCCCCAATGGTCATCCCATGTAAAGGACCTTCTGCTCAACCCCCAATGTGGTGAACCAGGCGTCCAAGTGCAACATTTACTGAGACAGTCGTGGGCAGCTTTGCACATACTTGATGCTGCACCCCAAATGTTGCCTACCTGGAGACGAAGAAGGGCAAACAACTGAGGGGGAGGGTTGCTCAAAAGGCCAGAAACGCAAAACAAGAATATGCCTGAACTTCTACTGGAATTTTGGCTGCCTCAGTTTGCCAAAACTCAGGCTGGTTCACTGGGGCTGGAAAATTAGGATAGGACCTGGGGAAATAAACGGACAGCATGGAAAAAACAGAGTCACTTAGAAAAATCGGCGAATGGCTGTGGCTCAAAAAGTGGTACCCAATTTAGCACCTTGGTTTATGGAACAAACACTGAATAAGGTGAACCTGCGTAAACCCCCCGGTGTTTT